CTCTCTCTCGTGGGACCCAGAGGAAGACAGCAGACCACCGCTGCTCCCAACCAGGCTGAGACCACCACCCTCGACTGGACTGCAATCACCACTTCTGACCAGACTGCAGCAGCTCTCCCACCAGCAGGTTTATTCCCTCTCCCTTTGCTTTGGACTCGGGGGGTGGGCCAAGGTACACCACTTTTGTTCATACCCCAGGGTGCTGGGTTTGTACATTTGGGTTTTGTGGGTTAAAACCAATTGTCTGTCTGTATACTTGTACTTACTGCATTATTTTAATAAATTGTTATTCTGACTTATAAATCTCTCTTTTGAATTGAGTTCATTTTGCCTTGCTGGTTAACTTTTAAACCAGCACAGAATGAGACTACTGCAAATCATGAAGCAAAAGGCGAAAATAATATGGATGTGCCTGACCATTTTCTCCCTGGTTTAAGCCCCTGTGAACACAGCAGGAACACCAGTCTATCTATTAGCTCCCCATATACTTCCATGGTCTTGGTCCTAACCTTCACATAAACTAATGGATCTGATCCTGGCTGCATGAGAAATTACAGTCCAGCACCCAGCTGTGCTCCTTTGAAATAATGTATATCACAGAGACCAGGATGGAGGGTGCGGGAGCTGAGGATGCAGCATTATCCTCTGAAGGGATCTGGAATAAGAAACTAGAAAAATACACAGTATAGGATGTAGATTTTATGTATAAAAAGTATTTTTTTTTCTTTTAGGAAAAAGTGTTGCTTTCAAAAATGGTTATTTTAACACTTCTTTCCCGCAAATAAACAGAATTACATCCACATGTTGAGACACACATGGATTTCTTTTTTATTACTGGAAATAAAAGGCTCAGAGGTTCTGCAGCAGTCTGTTAGGCAATGCAGTAATCCTTGCTCTCTAGTGTTCAGCAGCTCATTTTAACAGCCACAGTCTCAGATTTAGCACCTCATCTTTCACTCTTCTGTCTTCAAAATCTCACAAATGCTCCTGCTTCCTCCATACAAGGAGGTATTCCCAAGCCATTTCCAGAAGGGACTGCTGTTCTTACTCCGTGGCACACACCTGTAACCTGGGAATGCAACAGCAAAAATTAGTCAGAAAGCTGGACCATGAGATAAACTGCAGACAAAGTAGAAAGTCAGTAAGAAATGGAAAATAAATTATGTACAGATTGATTAAAAACTGGTTTGTAGCCTCTCCTCTCATCTTCAGCCACGGGCTATTCCTTTTAAATGTATTTGTTGGTGGGTCACGTAAGGTACTTCAAGCTTAATAACACTTCCTAGAAGTGTTATTAAAACCACGAACTGGTTTTGTGGGCTGTATCCCACAGTACCCACAAGCAGATCATGATAGTGTGTTTGTAAAACCTGTGGAGAAAGATGTTTTACAAAAGACTGTAAGGGCCTCGCTTTCTTTCACAGATTAAGTTTCAGAATGCTACAGCTATCACTGTTCAGATTTGGTACTTTTGAACAGTAAAGAATTGGTCTTTACCATGCATATTTGTTGGGAAATATGACTGTAATACAGTCTGATCCCAATTTCACACAGTCATCACAAAAGGATAGATGGTGGTGCTGCTTTTGTACAAGCGGTACTGAGATGATGATTTTCAGAGCTATCACTATTCAACTATGATCATAGGTCAAAGCACAAACATGATTTGGGATTTCTTCACTTAAGATGGCTTTTTACTTTGTGAGGACCTCTATGAAGGGACCAGAAAAATTCAGTCACTAGACAAGTAATAACGGAGTTCATCTGGTGAGCAACAGACAGCACTCAAAACCAAACAACATCCTATCATGAAAATAGATTGTGAAAACAAATTTAATAGATTCACGAGTTCAGGATGTCCTTACATTAGCAGGTCTTGGAGCACTTGATTTTATGGGAAATGACCTTTTGTGCTAGATAATGAAAGAATTTGAAGGCACCGAAAGAAATTTCCAGTGGCTAATTTATAGAACGGCATCAGAGATGAGAAGGGACTGCTAATGAGTCCTTTCAACTCCCAAATAATTACCTCAACTGTATAAACCGAAAGGACAAGTCTTTAAAAGGCCAGTAGTCCCCGAAGTGAGAGGCTAAAATCACCGTAAATCCACCAACAAGGCGATGATACACTCTCAGCCAAGGTGGTTCATAGTTTTAGGATTCATATATAATTGTTACAATGTATAGTTTTGAGTGTAACATATTACTGAGTGCCTGCTAGAGTAAAAGCCATTACATTAATTATAGGAGAGAACTGTCATTCATAGATTAAGTATTTTTAATAATACATCTGACTCTCTCTTTTGTGAAGCTTAAGTCATCCTGAATTATTAACAATGCTTATATACAAATTGCTATCATTGGGCTTTACTGCTAATATCCCACAGAGATTAATAGAAGCATTTCATAGTCTTATGCATTATTATTTCAGATTATCTGCAGATTCCAAATGAAATGACTCTATTACTGCATGGTCAGTTCACTTTCAAAAGGTTACCTTTGCAATAATAAAGGCAAGTGACATTTTGTTAATGAAGTCCTATTTTCAGATACCAGGAATGTGATAGTTCACAAACCCACTGACAATAATCTCATTTTACTGCCAGCAGTTCCCACCTTCTTTTGTAGGACCTGGATGAATAAATTTTAACTACATTATCACAGGATCATAGGAAAGTTTATGTCGAAAGGGACCTCAGGAGGTCTCTAATCTGACCTCCTGCTCAAAGCAGTGCCAAGTCAAGGTCAGACTTGTTGCCCAGGGCTTCATCTGGTCAAGTCTTGAAAACCTCCAAGGACAGAGATGGCCCAGCCTCTCTGGGCAACCTATTCCACTACCTGTCTCAGGTCATCTTCAGCTGAATAGGTCCCAACCTATATAATTTCCAGGGCTTGTTCCTTCCTTAGTACACAACTTTACATTCATCGCTGTTGAAGTTTTTAAGGTTCCTGTCAGGCTATAATCTCCATGTTTAATTATTGAAATCCACTTACAAAAGCATAGATTAATATGCAATACAGTAATGTTCCTAAATAGCAAAATAAGACTCTTCAGAGCATGACACTTTGTAGTGCTTTGCTTCTACTATTCACTTGCCAGCCAGTATCAGAATTATACAGTATCACACTCATGTCCCTCATGGCCACTGGCAAAACTGAGGCTTAAGATTTGCAGCTCAGATCATTCACCTGAACTGAGTGATGTCAGTAACTGTTCTGTCCCATGGTTTGATTACCACAGAGGCACGACACACATTTTGACTCTGCATGTTACTGATAACTTGCTAGCAAATAGAAGAGTGTTTGTCATCACGGTATCTGTGACTTTTTGCATTATCTGCAGTGTTAGTGGACCGATTCTGTGAGCACAGATATCACTGCACCTCTCAATTCCTAAGCTGTGCTTTTCTGCTCTATTGCTCCAGCTTCCTCCGCCCCTCTACTGCACAGTTCTTTCCCATTGGCCTGTCTTTCCCTTATCTTCTTGCTACTTCATACTCTCAGCCTGGTCCATCTACTGCCTTCCACTCCCTTAACTCCTCCAAATTCAACTTTTATCTTCTGGGAGTTCATCAGCACTGCTTCCTCACCAGTGCTGAAATGTCTGACAGGATACTAAGCACTCCAGAAAGACAGGATCTCTGCTCTTAGTTCCAGGGCAGAGTAGCAAAAAGCGAGTTGAAAAACCAATTGCAGGGGAGGTCCTGCTTTAAAGTGAAATGGAATGGGGAAAGGATTTGCTTAATTTCAACAGTTCTTTAATAACTATGTGTGAAATTTTCAGAAGGATTAGAATCATAGAATCATAGAATCATAGAATCATAGAATAGGTAGGGTTGGAAGAGACCTCCAAGATCATCAAGTCCAACCCCTGATCCAACTCCAATTACTATATCATGGCACTAAGGGCCACGTCCAATCTCTTTTTAAAAACCTCCAGGGATGGTGAATCCACCACCTCTCTGGGTAGGCCATTCCAATGCCTGATAACCCTCTCTGTAAAGAATTTCTTCCTAACATCTAACCTAAACCTCCCCTGGCAGAGCTTGAGCCCATGTCCCCTTGTCCTATTGTTGGTTGCCCGGGAGAAGAGACCAAATTAGCCAAAGACCCTAATTATTTATAGCAGCAGCAGAATTCATGTTCATCTTTCAAAAGTTACCTCCTTCCAGATATGAAGTCCTTCCAATAAATACATGAAAGGCAGGAGCCTTCCATAAACTAGTAGTAAGATTTTCAGCATTGGTGAAATAACACATCTACCTTTTTTTTCCAAAGAACATTTTTGTGAACTGTTCAAGACCCTTAGTCTGGAGAGAAAGCATAACACAAAAATGAGAGCCCACGCAGGGACTAGAAAGTAAGGCCTTAACATATATCTGAACCAGTCTTAATTGCCTTTGACATTACCTAATATCCTTCAAATCAATACATGGAAACTATACATAAGGAATGCTTGCTAACATTACTTAATCCTGCCAAGAAGGAATTTAATTTGTGTCTGCGCTGGGGAGGGAGTGGGTTACAACTTTATCAATTCTGAATAACTGAATTCCATCAAAGGAATGAAAGAGGAATATCAAATTTTCTGAATAAGTAACCTATGAGAAATCCTTCATCAGTCACTGAAGATCCTGCAGAGCTAGTTATGCTAATAGGAAAAATTGCATAGAATATGCATTTGTCCAAACACTGAAATAACATTCTGAGCCAAATTCCTCTGATTTTAAAGATGTTTCATTTTTTCCTACCCCAGAGCCTGTAACACTCTGCTAATCTACAAGCCCTGCTGATGCTCTCCACACCTTATGGCTCCATCATTCTGAACAGAGATGCCAGAACAAAGACAAATATGTGATGCCCTTCAACAGTTCTCCTTCTCAGAGGATGATTAAATTCTCTCATATGAAACTAAATGCTCTTCCTCTTTGTCTCTTTGTACTGAGACTGATACTGAATGCTCATCCCTGCTGTCCCAAAAACAACAATCTGGTGCAGTAAATCTAGACCTGGTGTCTTCGCTATAGTTTAGAAAAAAATCAGTATTTCACCAAATTGACATATGTGTTCTAACTGAATTAATGGTATTAGTCATTTTTAACTTGCACACATAAATTAATAGTTACAATATGGGCTGCATAAATAACAGTGTTGACTAATGAATACATAAACATAATTTTATGGCTGTATTTATTCAGTAAAGTTGGTTTTGCTGCAGTTTTATGAGAGGTGGGCACACCTGTGATGTAAAAGGAAGGAGAAGCCATGCAGACATACAGCAGCATGTGCTGCAGCAACAGTAGGAATGGAGTGGTTGCTGTCAGCTCAGTACCCTTATTACACTGTCTCCTTGTCTTCAAACTTGATAAAGTAGTATCAGGTTCGACTTAAGTCTGTTTAAAGGGAAAAAATAAATCAGTTGCCCAAAAACCATGACTTGTATTATTAGCACATCAATAACAGAACTCTTTATCAAACACTGAATTTAAGTAAAGACTGTCCGAACTGATCCCCTAAGCTTTTACAACTTTGAAACATATTCCCCATATTGAAGCAGAGAAAATAAAACCCCTATAAATAGGGATATTTTTAACTGTAGGAATAAAACTAACGATTATAGCACTCTGTATTACTTAGAATTTCTAGCCACTTCAGCTAAAGTCCCTTATAAAAACTATTTTAGCATTTGACAACAAGTACTGAAGAATTCATATTGTAAATTGGAAAAATACCAGAAGAAAAGGTTGGGGGTGGCAATGGAGGAGTAGGAACATGTTTAGCAAGAAATCTCATGAGAACGCTGTTCTGGAAGATCATTCCTATTCTAAATATAAACCTTTAATACATTAGCCATCCTGGCTTTAACATCATATAAATTATTTCCAGTGTGAAGCAAAACCAGCAAGACAAGGTCATTCTCTGCAATCTACCCATCTCTTACAAAGAACAGAAGGTTTGCAATTCTGGTTGGAGGTTCTACTGGATTTTGTACCACAAGTATCCTAATTTGTGTTCTGCACGTGAGGAAGAACACCTTTATTGTGTGAGTGACCACGCACCGGAACAGGTTGCTCAGAGAGGTTGTGCAATCTCTTTCCCTTGAGATATTCAAAAGCCATCTGGACACAATCCTGAGTAACCTGCTCTAGGATGACCCTGGTTGAGCAGGGAGGTTGAACCAGATGACTCACTGTTGTCCCTTCCAACCTGACCTATTCTGTGATTCTCTCATTCTTTTTCTTTTTGTTATCTTGAAATGTCTAACTAAACTTGCCTAAACCATAAGGGTCAGATAGGTTGCGGTCTAGATCTTTAGTTTACTCAGGATGCCAAGTGAAATACTCAGTGTAGCTCTGGGAGAAACAGTGTTTGTGATGTCATAAGTAAAAAGTCTGCCCTTGTTGCACTTATTTTTAATCTATGTCATTCAGAGTTGCCTTTTTCCAAGTCCTGAATGGTTTGTACCTACATTAAACACTTAGTACGAGGAATGTTTTCTTTTGTTAAACCAGTTGCCACTTTAATGTGATAGAAGTGGCTGAGCAGTAACAGGTGACAGCTCTAGTCATCTATGCTCTCCAGATGGAACTATCTTGTGTTCTTTCATAAACCCTTTACTTGTCACTGAGGACTCTGAGGCAGCTGTTCACTGGAAGATCAATGAAATACTAGTCTCAGAGATTACTAGAGAAATGGAAGAGCTAAATATGATCTTAACTAGTCATTACCTGGGAAGAGAACGACTCACATCAATTTCAGAAAGTTAAACAGCCTTTTATAAACTGTAATGACTCACAAGTACTCCACACACACATACACACACAATCTTATTCTCTGTTCAAGGCAATTAGTTCTTCTGTAGAGAAACTAAGCTCTCTCCTCCTTGAACCTGCAACAGCCTTATATTAATGTAATTACCTTGACATTAGACAGCTAATTGATTCAAAGACATAGATGCTATATATGCATTTCTTGCTGACTGGGTTACATAAATTGTTGACCTATAAACTGCTGTGAAAAAACACATAATAGAAATGAAGTCTTTTTCTTTTTTTCTAACAGATTCTGTTTGCTTTGGATTGCAAGTAAAGCAACTCTCAAAATCAAACTAACTCCAGGCAGGTTTGCTTTGTGCACATAGTTTTCTAAAATAAAAATTTTTTCAGCAAGTATTCAGGTGAGGGGTTATTTTGGCTTCTGAAGCATTCATTTGAGTCATAATAATTCAGTATCCATTGAAACAATTAACATAAGCAAACCTGAAGGTAGCCAACCTAGGAGACTCTGTCTGGAAATGGAAGCAAAGATGATATTTTAGCAGTGCTGGTATTTCCAATTCATGTTAATGATCTATCAGTTACTATTGTAACTTACATACATATGTATGCTACCTTTTGAGGGATACTTTGAACAGTAAAACAAGTGAAAATCAAAAAGCACTTTTGCTAATTTAAAATGCAAAAGTGTTTTCCACCGCAATGATTACAGTATGACCAGAAAACACACATGCATTCAATGAAGATCAGGAAAAGGTAATGCACTGGACAACCTTCTGAGTATTCTTTACATATTTGCTCTGGCCCAGATGGAGAAGCTAATTCATGATAATTAGGGTGTAAATTTCTAAGCACTGCAGCTGAGCTGCCCTAGTTCCCACTAAGGCCACTTTGTCTTGCTAGGAGAAAGTAATCTTGCTTTGAAAGTACAGTAAGTTGTTTTTCTTTTAAACTGAAGCGTCTCCAGCAAGGATAGTGTGAATTAGTGACATGTAAATTCTCACACAAATTTAATATCACAAATTTAACAAAAGTCACTAGGAAAATTAATTAAGATGACCTATATCCACAAACAGTGTTACTGAGTTCTTTTTTGCCTTGAAAAGGAGGGACTAGTGTATCCCAAGAAAGGAGGTAGAATTACTGCAAATGAGCTTAAGTAGCTGAATAAACAGTTTGATCTGCCTACCAACTAACTACTCACCTGAGCAACTATGATAGCTGAACATGGCACGGGGTGCCTACACTGCAGTGAGCCTGACACAGCAGGTGAGAGAAGTTGTCTTCTGATGGTTGTTTACCAGACTGTCTGAAATAAGCAAATTCAATTCTTATCAGAAAAGTGTCTGCCTTGCAAAACTCAGAAGAATGAGATTCCCCTGCTAATCATCTTGGTGCAAGCGAAGAGGAACAAAAACTTAATTACCCTTCTGCTCCAACAAATGCTACCTCCACACTAAAATCCAGAAACTGCACTGGGGAGCGTCTATGACTTTACCCATTCCAAAATTATCCTATGTGGATTATTTCATCCTGCAGGGCTGCCAGGCCTGAATTTAAACCAAACACATTAAGCTGTTTGCAATTCTTTGATTGTATTTGTCAATATTCTTTGTTATCAGGTTTAGGACTTCATTTTAAGTAAATAAAAATATGCTTTTAACTACAAAACTGCATGAAATCTTCTATTTTCCCTCACTGCGGAGCCAGGGTCTTCTTTAAAGAGATAACTTTGAGTTTAGAAACTCCAGTTGTAGGAACATTAATTTAATGGTGCTGCAAGGAAAAGATATATTCAGCCTGTTTAAATTCCTAGGTGAGATGTGAAACAAAAGTGGGGGTAGTCTCCAGATAAACTAAGAGCAATTGTCTGACAGCATTCTGGTCCAAGGCTGCACGGACCATAGTCACATAAACTCATTTTATGCACAGTCTTTTTTATTAACTTAATTAATGTCTTCTGTCTCTGAACATCATATGTGAATTCCAAACCCTGCAATTTTGGGCCTCAAATCTGAGGCATCGGAATTTACTGTCATGTTATATTGTGAAAGTAGATCACCACACGACTTCATATCTGAATATCTGTCAGATTCACAGGTGCTAACAGCAGACATTCATCCTTCTGTCTATACAACTTCTTAAATGAGATTCTGCTTCAATATGCAAGTTTTATGGTATTGGTATGAAAATGTGCTTTTTCACAATAATAACTAATATTTTACTATCTTTGACACCAAGAAAAATGTTTCTTAAATACTACAGAACATTTTGAGACAGTCTGAGATATGCATGAAATGTCCCTACAGGAAAGCCAGTTTATTCAAGGAGACTGGCATATATTTCCAGTCTGCTTTATATTTTAAAAGTGGCTGTAATCTCAGACTGACTAGATATTTGAGAAAGACAGAAAGACAGAAGATTGGAAAAGATAAAAACCATCTTAAGAAAAGGGAATAGCCTTAGAAAGATCAACATTTTTGCATGTTTAATTATTTATTCCATTATTTTTCTGTTAATTTAAATTAAACAAGTAACAAGAAGAGAGCAAGAAAGAAATAGTGAGGACCAATGATTAATCTAGGTAAAATTGCATGAAATGAAACTAAATTCTTTCTATAACAAAGTAGCAGGTCTTGGGAAAAGGAATGAGCAATAAAGTCGTATATCCTAACTCTGTTTCCCAGTGCTGTTTGATTTTTCCCACTCTTAATATTGTGTATTTAATTATTCCTACCTAATGAAGTAGCTCTTGCTTTTCTTTGTTGAGTTGCATGTACTTTCATACTGATTTCTTAACTTGTCATGATGATTCTCAATTTATATCCTACCCTTTCACAGGCAGTTAAGGGATCCTCTGTAGCTGATGGCTGAATGCTATTTGATAATCCTCTCTCCTGTGTTATCCAAAATATTAATGGGAGTTTTGACTAGTGCTACACCTAAGGTAGAATGCTATGTACGAAATCCTTTCATTTAGACAGTGAATCATGAATAGCAAAAAATAATAGCAAAACCAGCTGCATTTTCCCAACACTGTGCAGCAGTACTCAGAAAAATAGTTGCATGTTTTATCACAAATGGAATAAATCTGGAATGAAAGCAGAAAATATTGTACTGGGATATATAAGAATGCAGCACTGAAGATGTGAAGTAGTGACATTTTGGAACATTACACTTGTGAAAACTATGTTCACATGTTTGAGATAATCCAGGAGATATTAGAGATATCAGCCTTGGAGATAAGGCAGAAAGAACTGAGCTCATTCTACCTAAAGAAAACTCTGAAGACACACATGAAAACAGTCTTCAGATATGTAAAGTGGTAGTAAGTGTGGAAATATAATATAATATTCTTTGCCCACTACGGATTGGGTAAAATGTAATGGTCTTAAAATATAAAAAGTGATTTAAATTAGGAATTAGAAAGACTTTTCTATTGATAAAGACATGAAATTGAGAATATGTTGCTAAACTTGCATTTCCCAACATGATACTAATAGTCATGTAAAAATGTCAAGCAAATCACGCTTCCATAACCTACCTCTGAAAATGTCATGCACACTGCATCCAAGGTCTAAGACTGGATGTTTAGCTAGATTTTGGTTATAAATTACAAACCAGAGACTCATTACCTTACCTAACACACTCTAAGTCACAAAACAAATAGAAAGGTTGAGGTTGGAAGGGTCCTTTAAAGATCACCTGGTCCAACCCCCTTGCCATGGGCAGGGACATCTTCCAATCCATCATGTTGCTCAAAGCCCCATCCAACCTGACCCTGAACACTTCCAGGGATGTCCAAGCTGACAAGGTTTAAGAGCTATGGAGACAGAAGAAATGCAGATGATTACCTGCAGATGATTAAGGAACTATCCAGATCTGTTATTTAGAGTCCTACACGGTTTTTGACAGGTGACTGTAAAATATGGTTTTGAAATAATTATTTTAACCTGCTGTTGTGAGTAGGACAAATGAAGCCAAAAGTTCAAGGGTGTAAACCTTCTATGAAGAAATCAATGGTAATGTGGAGACTATTTACCCTAGATATTTATGCAATTCCCATTATGGCAGTATCAGGACTCTTGCCAATATTTAATGTACTTCTCTTCACAATAATGCTGTAAGGTCAGTGAATCTGTGAAACTGCACAAAAATACAAGATTTGTGAATCCCTAGAGAAAATGCTCAGTAAAGCAATCATGAAGAGTAATCCAGTAATGAGATATCCCTTTGGGGGAAACCACACTTGATTTCTCTCTCTCTGTTTTTTTCAGATCTGCCAATATTACTGAATCCAGATATACTGGGCAGACTATATATGCACAGATCAGCTGAGCATGTGCCACCAGTTCAGCACAGATCAGGACAGGTACTGTTCGATACTTACCCAAGCTGTTAACATGCACATTAATGTGCAGCTACTCTCATCGAGTATTGGTCACCCAACAACAAGATGTTCTTTTCCTGCTGTGTGAAAAAATGGCAATTGCCTTCCAGAACATGTTATTCTGGAAGGCTTAGCAGGTATGTTGTTTACCTATTTTATCCAACGAGTAATTGCATTTAAAGTACATAAATAAGCCTTACTTAGGCATGCACCTAACAAGCTGAACTTAAAATTCAAATAACTAAATTATTTTATGAATCTGACACTAAAATGACTTAGCAAAAGCCACAGAATGAGCAGTCATGTCTCAGACCCAGATTGTCTTCTTAGTTGCATGACTATTCTGCTTCATTGTCTCTCTTTATGGTTGATTTTTCAAAGAAGGATTTTAAATTTAGAAGAATAGAAATCCAAGGTCAGGCATGCAGAGCAGGAAAAAAATTATGTGGTGACCATCTCAGCAAGGTTTGAACACATTTTTTCATCTTACTGGTCCTTGGCTGTAACGGAAATACACTACTAGTAGCTCCTAATTAATAGATTTCTTAAAGTGTCTATCAAACTGCCACGTTACTTTTCTTTGTATGTTATCAAATGAGGATCCAATCCTGAAGTATGTCTAAAACACAAATAATGCATACAGATTATATATACAAATAATAGATTTTACTTTTCTTAGTGTACCCACAGGTGTTTCATGGGTGTGAACCACTCATATTAAGAAGGCTTTTGAATCAGATCCATCCTCACAAATTACGTTTAAACCAATATTCAAAGAACCACGAGATAATATATTTTGCGTTTCATTTTCATTTTGCTGAGGATTTTTTCTTAAAAATTTGAAAGAAATGAGTTCCAGCTTCTGCAAAAGAACAGAGGCAGAGTTAAGCTACATCACTTATTCTAGATTTGAGAACATTTTGCATGGCCATCGGGAAGATCAGTTCATTAGAAAGTTCAGAACTTGTGATTTGAGCATAAAATCTTTTCACAACACCAGTATTAGGATACTTTGGAACTGAAAAGCAAAGCCTTCAGTTCTGTAAGTGCAAACGGGTTCCTGAATTAAGTATTAGAGAGGGCATCATCCTGGGCATGAGCTCTGGAGCCTACAACACTAAGTAGGGAAGGGAGTGGGATGTCAACCAGCAGGAGAAAGGTCTGCTGCTGGCCCAGATGTATACATTTGTGGAAATTCAACCTCCATTTTCACCACTGTAGCTCCTGAGAATCAAGCAGGTATCTTAGAAAACATCAGTACTTGAGCAAAATTCTGGATGTTAAACTGAGAGTATGCATAATAACTTCAGTTTTATGAGCATGGACCTGGATGCTGTAATTTTAACAGAATTATGCAGATTTGGTGCCCCCTGCTGTCTTTAACTACCAGAGTGGCCCACGAAAAACATGAGTAAGTGCTTAAATACACTGAACAGCACAAAACACCCCCAAAGGGCAAATTAAGGATGCTGCTCAAAAAGGCACATTTGAACTAGAATGTGAGTCCACAGATTACTTTGGTGAAGCATCCAGGAGCTGAGAAAAGCCGAGCTTTTTGTTGGTAATAATCACAAATGGGAAAAGCATTGAGTGCACCATCGCCAATGGGAACCACAGAGACCTTGGCACTCCTCCATTGCTTGAAAGCAGGACCACAGAAAAGACTCAGTCTCTTGTGGGGATAAAACCACATGAAATCCTTCTGGTCTCTTTTTTCTTGCTCAACACTGGGTCTGCTACATTTCCTGCCTCTCTACCCCAAAAAGAGAGTTTAAACAGGCTCTATTTTCCTATGATGATAGCATCTAGAGGTCTCAAAAAATATTAGTACCAGTGGTACCCCCAGGTACACAGTGGGTGCATCTACATAAGTTTTTGTTATCACCTAAATTGGAAGACACGCTCCAGGAGCACACCCAATACAGCAGGCTCCTGCAGGGGACAAGCCCAGAGCTAACCCAAAGCACAACCCCTCCAATGCATACAGCACAGCTCTTGGGGTGGCAGCACAACCTGCTTCTCTCTACTGAGCAAACCTTCCTGGGCCACGCTGCATGCTAAAGGAAAGGTACCCACTTAATAAGACTCACCTGCTGAATCTCACTGCCACTGAGGGCGATTCTCTAACCTCTCTGTCCCTCCAGCTGCTTGTTCCCAGTCCATCCACTTCGTTAGCCCCAGCAACCTTCAGGCGGAACAGTGAGCTTGCTTAACTACCAGACTCCATTAAAAACTAATATCTGCTTCTTTTTTTTTCTTTTTCCCAGGGCTGGTTTTCAGTTGGATCAGTTTATTGTATGGTCATGTGGGTGCCTGGTCTGATGTAAGAAGGAGGAGGAATGTCCCTTTGGCAGCAGTACAGTCTCAGATTGGCTTAAGCTAATCATGAAACTTCTGTCCTAAATCAAATAAGGGTGTGAGGTGTCAGTTGGTGCAATGGCTTGTCCAAACTAACAGAGCACATTTCTAGCATAGCTGGGTTGAAATTCTGCTATAATCAATGGCTAATATATAATATCCCTAATTTATTTTAATTTCTGTGTTGGTCTCTCATCCCTTCCTTGTATTCCTCCTGGAATACTACACAATGTAAGTGACGAGGAAGCAAAGCTACAGTGCCCCATCTGAGCCTCTGCAAAGCAGCAGACAGGACTTCTGGAGGAAGAATGTGTAAGTGATTTTCTAATGCAAATCAACAGTAGGTTAACAACTGATAACTTCGCTTACACTCAAAAACATTTTTTTAAAGGGGCCTTTGTTCAGTAGTCACGAGTAACCAATCAGTCAATTACTTCCTCCCTTGGCTATCTGCGCTTGAAGATGAAAAAAAATCAAACAAAAAATTCCACAGAGAAGAGACAACCTTGTCTTGCTGTGAAAAGGGGTGTTCAGTGCCTGTATTCCTGAAAACATGGGTGCTAAAAGAGTGCTGTGCTGTACTTCAAGCAGATGTGCAGCAGAGGATGTTTCATCATTTCATATTCTCCTCATGCTGGAAGGCTTTTAGGACTGACATTGAATCTATGAGTCACTGACACTTCTGGAAAGGCTTTCTGGTGAACAAGATGAAATTTCTGTCATTTGTAGTGTCTGAGAAGGTTTTTCAACTTCAAGAGAAAAGAACTTATTCAGTTTCTCTGACACTTATTTATACATCCAAGTTCTAAATGGCCATTTTCAACTCTTGAACTCCTGTGACTTAGTGAGATGGTATGATCTGTATTACATCTTCTGTAGCAGTATTTAAACAAATATCCTTAATAAAATCTTGCTCACTCCCACCATCTAGAAATCCTGTTTTGTATTTCACACATTTTATTTTTATATCTCAGCATTCAAAACACCAGAAGGCAGGAGTCTGGCCTGATAACTATTAAATTAGTTGCACCCTGATGCAAAATCAACTTGCTTACTACATCCTTTATACTTGTTATTTTACTCAGTGAACTGGCTGCAGGAGCTGTCTAAAAATTCACTTCTATCTCCTCTAAACGTTGTGTAAGTCAGCAGTCTGTCCTCTATTCACCTCTTTTCAGGGTGAAACACAGCCACACATAGCCATGTCAGGGGTTGTGCAAGAAGAAGATTATGAGGGTGGATCCACTTGTTTTGATCTCCTGACAGAGCACTGTGGCTCACTCTGCTACCAAGCTCCTGCAGCCACTTTCTTGCTCTTTTTCCACCCCTAAGCTCTCTTCTTTTCCCTTTTCTTGTTTTTCTCCCTGAAATCAATATATTTATGTGCATATGTAGCAGCCACCACTTGCAGGCAGCCAGACCTTGATGCTCTTGAGAACAAGGAGCTAATTTTTAACTATTGAAAAAAATTGAGTGCTGGAAGAGCTGGTTTGTCACAGAAGGGAGTGTGCAGAGGGATGAGCATGGAGGTTTAAGTCAGAAGGTCTTATTATCGCTAGACCTCAGGGCACTGGCTAATCAGTAGGGGTGTAGCTTTGTTAAGAAAACTGTATTTTATGATATTTATGTCTGTATCTGAAACATTTGGTTTCAGTAAGACACCAGAGACACTTCATGAGCCACTGGAGTGCTACATCATAGCAATTAATAACAATTGCTAGGAGATTCTCTTCCAGGGCATGCCAGGCCCCAGTGTGTAAGAAAGGATAAAAAACATCACTACTCAGGTCTTTCAAGTATGCTCTTCCCAACACATAAACTAAGGTGAATACCAACATACAAGTCAGACTTCTTTCTTCTCTCAGCATACTCTTTTTCCTATGATTCAAGTATTGGAACACATTTAATCTAGTACATATCTGGATTATCTTTTACCTAAAAATGTAGATTTGCATATTGTGAGTTGCAACTTTCTCCTCAGAGGATAAGAAAATACTCTTAGAATAAAGAATACTGAATTGGGAAGCAAAAAACTCCAAACTCAGTTCACAATGTAAACAAAAGACCTTGCACTTACTCCACTTGTTAGACATCCTGTCTAGAATAGGATGGCAAATTGCCCAAGGCTTTGTTTATGCTGGCTAGCAAAATATGCTATAAACAAAGCAGAAGACAAACTGGTTTCTAACGTGACTTGTCCAGTCTTCGAGGAATAAAATCCAGCTTTTTAAGGCTAAAAACCAAATCAAACAAACAAGCTAGTGGAAGGATTGAAATGAGCTACATGTAATATAAAAACCAACACAAAACAAGAGCAAGCATCAATGACCTAGAGCCAGAATCCAAGTCATTCAAACTCAGAATAAACAGTGGAGAGACACTAAGCAAAACCAAATTTCTGCAGCAAATACCCATATTTCAGGGTTAGTTTAAAGAGTGAAAGATCTGTTCATGAGCTCCTTCCGGAGACTAGACTAGAATTGTGCCAAGTGTATACACATGTTAGTATATCAGTAAGCACCAGTATATATTCTTATGTTAGAACAACCTTGTATCACATACACTTGCTCTTATCAGAAGCTGGAAGACAAAAACACTCTTCATCCTGCAGTTAACAACACCGGGTGACAATCTGTTAGCAACACAGCAAACAGTGCACTTTATCAAGCATTATTTAATTTTCTTTGGGCACACTTTTCTACCTGTTTCTATATTTTTGTGTCCTTGTAAAGATTGGAGCAGCAGGGTACGAAACCAGGACTAGTAAATGTTACGGAATTGCAAATAATGACATATAAAACCTCTGTATTTTTCATGATAAACAAATTTAGTTCCAACGTGGGCAGTTTTGAAAGGTATTTTTACCTGGAATTCAGCATTTAAGGACTTAATGAGAAATATTTCATGTGATACTCTTAAATGTGAAACTATTAAAAAAAGTGTGAAAAAATTGATATTGATGTTCTTACAAAATGATGCTGTAACACAGCCTTTCAGCTTGTGTGTGTGTATGTCTGTCAGTCTGTCTGTCTTGGTTCTCTCCTCACCCTGATACAAGTGGACTCACCAGCATGTTTCATTGCTCCCTTTTCTAACCACAGTTTCTCTGCATGAAAACTGGATAGAGATGAATCAATGGTGGGAATACAGATGTCATCCCAATCCTGGATGTTGACAGGGTGCACACACTCAGGGAGCTGAAGTGCACTCCTGAGGCACACAGTATAGCTGCAGCTAATGCAGCCAAGAAAAGGGCCTTAGGCAGTAACTGACTTTGCAGCTCTGTCTAATCTGCAGGTTTATAAGAGGATGCCCTCTGACATTGCTCCTTTTGCTGGGTAACTCTTCTTACCTGAGTAGTTCCCTGAGACATTTCCAAACAGTAGATAGATTAATATATATATATAATGGGCACATGCTGCTTAGTCCACTGCAATTAGATATTCTGAATTTTGATGCTATTCCTTTATTCAAAACATGCCCCCAGGAGTAAATATTTTATGGTCAGTGATCTCTAAAGAATACAATTTAATTTCTCATTTACCAGGTATATGTATTCAGAGCTCTGTAATAAAACACAGCTCATAAAGTAATATTATGCTTTGCAAAATAAGTATGATGCATTATACACAGCATATAATTTAATCATTCTTGACTATGGCATAAATGGTTGGAGGTGAATGCCACCTAGATTAATACTAATTACACTTTGCACCTTTATGAACATACTGAAGTACTTATCAGCCATGCACACAAGCAATTTGTTCTAAGCCACACAATGAGCCAGTGGCAAACAAAGGAGAGGAAACAAGGTTCTTTTATCTCCCATACTTCTTCTGAGCCAGCTTCTTGCCAACAAGAATTAAAAGCCATTTCATACTTCATGGCAATGAAGCTACTTTTTGTCAGTGTTTCACCAGAATTGCAACCTCAGTCTCACAACGTATGAAAAAGCTTTGTACAAGTAAATACAAAGATGTATATGTACGTGTGGGTTTTAAATATGGCAAAACATAAACTAAATGGATGAAAGCCTTACAACTCCTAAAATAGCTTACCATGGAAAAGAATACTATTTTTAAAAGCCCACACTTATTATGTAAACCTCAGCATTTTGTGTAGCCTTTAGGTTCACTGCAGTTGTCTGTACTACATTTATATAATTCTTTAAATAACCACTGGGTGTCACAGTTACCAACAGAAAACACTTGGGGGACTTCTCCAGGTTCATTTTAAAACAGACACGTATAATCAGAGATAATACCAATTCCAATACCCATAATATTAATAGTCACTCCCATTCCAAGACCAGGAAATGGTTTCCTTAACAAAAATAAAATTCAGTCAGAGTTAATACAAACTGTTCTTTTAGAAACTAGCAAAATGGAGATTTGTCTTTCAAATTTAGCCTACAGGTAAGATTCTGTCATACCGCACATTTGTGAAGTATGTTCACTGCTAGAGTGGAATAAGGCAATTCTAGACTCCAGGGACTTGAGGAATAATTTCCATAGGCTTTCTCTTTCAAAAATTAAGTGACGTGACAAACAATTATTTCCTCTCCCCTTTGCAAAATACCCATTCACTCAGAGAAAGTCTAAACATTTTGGCAGGTCCCAGCTCTCAGAATTACACAACTAGCAGAAGAACATGAGTTTTCATAGTTTTAAATTTAAAAGTAAGTTTGTGGTCTTCATCACAGAAGAGAAAATGTGACTCCAGTATAATCAGTGACTATCCAGGTTTGCAGACAACAGCTTTAAATCGTTGAAATGCTTCGTGTCTTTGTTCAGATGTCAGCTCCAAAGGCACGAACCAGTGTTCACCCCACAAACGACCCCATGAGATGAGGAGTGTATCTGGTTGGCTGGTTTCACCCACCCACATGTATGCCTTACACCTGGAATACTGGAGAGCTGCTCCATGCATCCAAAGCATAGGCAGCACCAAGTAAACTACCTGCAATTATACAGACTACCATATATGTAATCTATATAACCACAAAGCTCCAGTTTTTAGATGCCAAACAGTCTGAACAAATACCATGAGGCTGGCATGGCTGTGGACATTTGGGAGAGGACACAGTAGATAGTCAAAGGGTGCCATGAAAGCAGGTTGGTGCTCCTAAGAGCCTCGGAATGTCTGCAGGATGCTTGGGAAGCCTCTGTAGTATGCATGCTAAGGGATACTGGTCTGGAGCAGATGCTAAGAGTAGCCAGGGACTCATGTTTGGGATAATTCTGGAAAACAGAGTTTTGGGGACCTTTGCCAGGACCTGTAAGATGTGAAGAGGGAAGAAAGAAGGTATTTCCTATATCTGGAGTTTGACATTTGAGGACTGAATTAAGGACGGTGGGTCAGTTACGGGCTGCCACGTCTCTCAGTCCCTACTTTTTCTTACCCATCTCTAACTTCTGAAATGGAGACAATTAAAAATGGAAACAGAGAACCAACTTAATCCCTGAAAATCAGGCTTGACAGAAGCACCTACAGTTCCTGGCCACAGTTCAGGTGACGGGTGAGAGATACAGGCTGAGACATGGGCAGGTGAGACACAAATGCCAAACAGGCACTGTCATAAGAGATGTGTAACACATGGCAGGCACCAGCCTCTCTCTCATGCACTATGTTTAGGGCCTCAGATTGCCTTAAGCAAATCACCCTGCCCTGCCCAGCATTTTCCAACTCCTCCATTTCAGCCATTTGCTGCCTGATCAGCTAAAATGACTGTCTCAGGCAGAAATGTAGTTTTTTCTCATTTTTTCCTTTAACCTATTTTCATCCAAGTCCAGATGTACACAAAAAGGCACACACAGGAGAATGCAAGCATTATCTAATACATAAAAGATGGATTCAGAGAAGAAGAGAATTAAGCTGTTCTTCATGCCCAGCATGGCATGATAAGAAGTAATGGGTGTAAACTGCAGGTGGGAGTTTTAGATTAGATATTAGAAATGGCTTTTTTTACAGTAGACATAATAAGGACTTGGATAGATTGCTGGAGGAGGCTGCAAAGGATTTCAAAAACAGGTTAGACAAACATTTATCTGGAATCACATTGGTATACATGTTTGCAGACTGGAGCAAGGAATGGATTGCTCAAAGTCCCTTCTAGTCCTGTTTCCCTGTGATTTTATGATTCAAGGACACCCAATGGCCTATTTTTTGCTAGGGACTGGTCTTAAACAAACCTCACAGTCTCAAAAAAATGCCAGCAAAATAATAGGAAGGGTTGTTTTTAAGTAAACATTATTCTAATTCCCTCTTTTCTTACTCAAAAAACCCTCCCACTCTGCAACACATTCAACTACAAAGCTAAATACAGTTGGTAAAGTACTGAAAGCATTAGCAGCATTGATAACACTGTGGCAATAATACAGCAAGTGATCTGAAATCTTTATTTCTTTTGACCAAGTTCTTGCCCCTTATACCTTTCTCTCCTTCTCCCCACCCCAACACAATACCCAATTTTCTAAATTACTTGAGCTTTTATGCACACTTTCATTAACATAGCAGGTGCAGTTATTTAGACCATTAAAGCCCTAGCAGTAGTGTAACTTGGGAGTGACCCCACTGCAAATTAACAGTTCAGACACAAGGGGTGAATAGTGCTTTAAAATGCAGCTGGAAATCTTCCACTGTACCCAAACAGGACTTGGTCCAAGGTCCTTGTCTGAAAGCTGCTCCCTTAACACAAGTCACTTGAGTTGGAGGAGAAAAGCGTTACAGATTAATTCTGGTTTGTGGAGAAAAGAGGCTCTTTTCTTCCAGCTGAAGTTAAAAGCTGCCAACAAACATCAGCAAACCTATTTGGAAATTTTGGACTGACTCCTCATGTGATCTGACTGTGGATTTTTTTCTCCACTTGCTATTGTATTATTTCTATGAAGTCAGTTACCAAAAGCTTCTCTGAGTCAAATTTCCCTTCTCACTAC